ATGTGAATCGCCCGGGATCTTTCCTGAAAGCCAAGGAGCTTTGTTCTGGTACTTCAGCATAACATCTCTGCCCTCTGTTCATCTTTTCTTTGACTCTCTTCATCTGGTTCATTTGACTCTCTATGATGCGATCTTGTACATATTCTTCTATAAAGATGGTATAAATGTTCATCTGTTTCCCAATCCAGTATGCAAAATTATTTAGGACCACAAATGTAGAGAAACTAAGGCTTGGGGCTTAGTTCATACAATTCTTTCTATCATCCAGAGAGAAGGGCCCAACTGCACTGGAAATCCAGAGGAATATCCAATAAGAAGCATTCAGTGAGGGTTTCCACTTTCTCCTGGGACTAGCCTCCAAAGCAGCAAACTGCAGAAAGTCTTGTAAAAGATGGGACTCATGGAAGGAAGAGAGAGGAAAAAGTGACTTCTTCTGTAAAGAGAAGATCAGGAAGCATTGGTGAGGGTTGGGAAGGGGGAGAATGAGAAGAATTATCATGTGGCTCGGTGAGTTATGGATGTGCTGAGAGTGAGCTCAGAGTTTCCAGGGTGAATATATTGCTCCAGGGGAACTTCCAGGGAAATATGTGCAAAGGGAAAAAAAAAAAAAAAGGCATTGGCTCTGAAGTTAGAAAGCCTGAGTTTGAGTCCCATTTAAGACACAGGTCACCTACATCACCTTGAACCAGATATTAAACATCTCTGAGCCAATTTCCTTATCTGTAAAATGGAACTAGTGAAACCTATAAACACAGATGTTTTACATGAGTTGAAAGAAATAAATAAATGCTTGCCAAGAGGGCCATGGCACTGGGAGATAGCTTCAGCACTGTTCTCTCTTAGGAATTCTCTCAAAGTGAAGGAACTCATTCCTCTCCACTTCACAGCCTAAGACATTGACTTAGTGATGGTCCAGAAACCCTCACTGATTTATCATCAGAATTTCCACTACCAAGATATCTCCATGAAATACTTTTGAATAGCAGAGAAGCTCCGGAAGTGAAAAACACGAGTGAGGGTCTGTATGGGCAGAAGGAAGTATGGAAGGTCAGGCCAGAGAAGGAGTGCTCTGGATACAAGGGAGAGAGAACCAGAGGCTAACAATCTGGTTCTAGTTCTGATTCCATCACTTACTGTTTATGTGAACTTGGTGCAGATCACCTTGAAGAAACTGAGGCTTGTGCAGTTCATAAATAGAGGAAAATACTTTTCCTACTACTCTAATGTGGTTGTGAGAAATAAAACACATATGATAAAGACATAAAATTGTTCTCTAAGCTCAAGTTGCCACATTATCCCGTAGGTGTCAGGTTTGAGGAAATGGAAAGGGTGGCCCCAGGATCATGGGATTCACTCAGTATATGCTACCTCCCTATGACTAGAATAAGAATTGCTTCAGACACAAGAGTTCTGCCACCACACCTACTCGTCACTGCACACAATTCCCTTTTGAGTTCTCTACAAACCAGAATTTTCTGGTCCCTGTGCTAACCTTGGCCTATTTTAGAAAGCTTAGACTGACCTCTCTCACAAAGCTTCTGTAATTTGGGAGAAGAAATTTGGGGTTTGACCTGATGCTGACATCCTAGCCAAGCCGGAGACTAGAGCCCACCCCGGAGACTAGAGCCCACCCCATCAGAGGGTGAGCATGATGGAAACGATTTTCCTTTTCAGGTGTGGTTTTGCAATGTGACCCTGGGGCATTCTAGACAGGTGCCAGGGCTGAAGTGAGAGAGCAAAAGGACAGTGAAAACCATCAGAAGAACGAGTGAGCATCCAGTTAAATTGACATGACAATGAACAGACATTGGTGGCAATATTGTGCCACTAAAATTATACCTCAACCTATATACTTAGCTCTGGACCTCAGGGAGAATGACAGCCAGCTCAATTGATCGAAAAAAGAATTTGGGTCTCAAAGTCTGGCTGCTGCCTTGCTGTGATATCATTAGGAGTCAAAAGGGATTTGGAGCAAGCAGTCTGAAAGCAGACTCTGGGGGTGAGGGATATCTCTGTGCCGGGGAGGTAACCACAGCAGGAAAGAGACAGAAGAGGGAGAGAGAGCCACAAGGTTTCCCACCCTCCTTATCCCTGCCTACCCCTGCACCTTCTCACCATAAGTAGAGAAAGAAATGATCTATTCATTTTTTTTGTAAGTAATCTCTACACCCAATGTGGGTCTTGAACTCATGACCCCAAGATCAAGAGCTGCATGCTCTTCCAACTGAGCCAGCCAGATGCCCCAGAAATGATCTCTTTAAGGTATAAGAACATAGAGTGGGAAGAGGAGGGCAAAGAACTGAGGTACGCAAAGTGATCTCTTTCCTTTTCTGAATTTCTTTGGAATTCACTGTTTGGACCAGAAAATCAGCCTTTATGTTGTTAGATCTCTTTTTCTATGGAATATCTTTTCTCCTAGACTAAATGGCATGCTCTCTGTGTTATATCTCTCCCAGTTCCCACATAATAGATAGTTCAAGGGTTTGGTTGATGGAAGTGGTTGTATGTGTTCTCCCAGGAGGGCTAGTCTTGAAGAGAAGATTGTGGCAGGGATGCCACCTGTTTCCATCACAAAGTCCTGAAAGTGACTCAGCCTAACAGCCAGTCTGGTTGCTCCCAATAAGAGAGAAAAAGAGAGAGAGAGAAACAGAGAGAGAAAGGCTCTATTTACCGAGACCCTGATCACCTCCCACCTGCCTCAGCCAAGCTTGTCCACACTGGCTGCTCCTGTCTCTCAGTCTTTTGGAGAGAGAAAAGAGCACGGGAAATGTCACATCTATGGTTTGGAACTTTGCAGACATTTTCTTGGGGCTACTGTGAGAGAATTGTTCTTCAGATCCACCTTTTTTAAACGAAGTATACCGAAAGTTCTGAGGGATGTTTGCTCCTCAAACATTAATGAATGCTAAAATGGATTTTGTGGTCCATATTGAGAAGGCAAATTTCCCACTTTTGGAGCCTCACAGTGAGGTTGGGGAGTCTGTACATATCAGTGGGTGGGGCAGGCTGTCAGTTCTACTAAAGCTCCAAGCAGGATGGGGTTGTTCAAGACTGGGCTGGTCCAAGAAAACTTCATAGAGCCTGAAATGGACCTTGAAGCAAAGGCCAAACTTGACCAACTAAAAAACAAAATGTATTGGAGCATGGTGAATGAATTCATTTTAGCTAAAGCATGTTTCATTGGTCATATAAAGTTGGAAAAGGTTTTGGAAAGCCTTGAATTCCAGATTTACAGTTTGCATTTTAATCAGTAAGCACTAAGAAGCCATTAAATATTTTTGAGCAACGGTATGAATATGTAAAAGAATTTTATAAAGACTATCTGGTGGTAGTGGAGAGTATGTTGGGGGTTGGGGGCTAATTGGGAAAAGTACAATAGTCCCTAAAGATTAGTGGACTATTGAGCGTCCAACTAAAGTGTTAGCAGTGAGAAGGGGAAACACAGTACTCAATTCTGTGAACTTCTGTCTTGGAACACTATTTGCATGTTGTCGGTCTGATTTAAAAATATCTGGGAAAAGGGGCACCTGGGTGGCTCTGTTGGTTAAGCATCTGACTCTTGAATTCAGCTCAGGTCATGATCTCATGGTCTGAGTCCCTCTCTCTACCCCATCCCACCTCCCTCCCCCTCCTCTATCTCTCTCTCTCAAAATAAACAAACAAACAAACAAACAAACAAACAAACAAACAAACTTAAAAAATATCCGGGAATGCTTCTGATCCTTCATTTCTTTCATAGTCTCCTGACCATTTCCCCCAGGAGAGTGGAAAAGAAAACTGCACTGTTACCTGTTGACTGTCCTTAGGCAACTCTGCTCCCCTGGACCTCAATTATCTACCTTAAATCAGATAATAATTATTTTACCTGCTGGAAGGCAGAGAACTGGAACACAGAATATCTTGATGATCTTTTCAATTCTGAGTCCCTTTCTGTTTTATTTTTAATTCTTCTTTAGAACGCTCCATCTACTCTCCCCTAACAGCTATTTCATCCCAGTCTGGGAGAAACCATTTGGGGGTTCAGTCTGGGATACATACAACTTCCCCAGCGTCTCTTGTTGATGTGGTTGAGTCTGGGACAGAAGGGTGTTCAGATCCAACCTGGAGGAAGAAACTGACGGAGTTCAGTGGTCATTGCCTTCCAACTAATATCATGCCTACTCTTGATACCTAAAGTAGGAAGTAGGGTCGTCACGGGCCACGAAAGGCCCTGGAGCCTCAGGCGGTACCCCCAACTCTTCCCCAGCATGACCTCTCCCCCACTCCCCCCACCCCGCTCCTACCCAGTTTCTACTTCACTTCGGCTTGGGGCGCACCACCACCAAATGCCTGGGCGGTACCTCAGTTGCCCTCGATCACACCAGTTTCGGATCAGAACTGGCCCCCTCCTACACTCCAAACGTCCCGAGTTGGCGGTGGCGCCAACCTCTGGCCGCATCTCTCGCCACCCAGAGGGGCTCTCCCCTCTTCCTGGGGCTTCTCAGGGGCGGAGTCCACCTGTGCCTCGGGGGCGGGGCCTGGGCGGGGGCGGGACAGGTGGGAGTGCGGTCGCTCCCAGAGCTGGAGCGGGAGGCGGCGGAGGAGAGGCGGGCCGGCGCGCACCTAGGGGAAGCCTGCCTGTGGACAGAGTGTGAGAGCCGGCGAGCGGGCGAGGAGGCGGGAGGGAGGGCGGGCGGCTGCGAGCCTGCGACGAGGAGAGGAGTGGAGAGGAGAGCCGGGCGCGGAGGACACTCGGGGGAGGAGGCGCCGGCTCGGCTCGCCGAGAGAGACCTGAGAGGCGGCGCGAGGCGCCCGCGCAGCCGGAGGGATTCCTCGCGCGCGGAGCATGAGCCGGCGCCCGGCTGGAGAGCGGCCGGGGGACACGGCCTCCGCGCAGCCCTGAGACGCTGGGCAGGGACTGGGGCTGGGCCGCCGTGCGCCGGGGGCGCTGGGCCCGGCCGGGGGGCGGGGGCTGGGTGCGGAGCAGCCCGCGCTGGCGGCGGCCGCCGGGGCGCCGCGCCATGGGGAGCCCCCGGGCCGCGCTTCTCCTGCTGCTCCTGCGCCCGGTCAAGCTGCTGCGGAGGCGCTTCCGGCTGCTGCTGGCGCTCGCCCTGGTGTCCGTGGGGCTCTGGACTCTCTATCTGGAGCTGGTGGCGTCGGCCCAGGTCGGCGGGAACCCCCTGAATCGGAGTAAGTAGCGCCGGGGGGAACGGGGAGGGCGCGGAGGTGGGGGGAGACACGAACGGTGGCCCCCGCTTTGGGGAGACCCGCCTCTCATGCTCAGACCTGGTTTCCAACTCATTTTCGTGTCCAGGTGCCCGGCGCCGCCCGGCTGCCTACTCCGGGAGAGAAGGGGGGTGTGGGGGGCCGTTCGCCGAGTTCCGAGCCCGGGCCTGCCCGCCGGGGACATCCTTGGGGCTGCTCGCTGCTCCCCTAGGAGGACGGCGGGGAGAGAGGCTCCCGCCCGCCCCGCGGGGATGCCGGCCGAGACGCCGGGCACCTCCATCCAGAGCGCTCGGCTTGCAGCCCCCCAGCGAGACAAACGCGCGGTCCACGCGCGGGCTGGGGATTTGTGCCCTGGGTGCCCTCGGCCGGTGTCCGCCGAGGCGGCGCGCTCCGGTTAGCGCGGCCCAAACTTTGCTCATCGCCTTCTCTGTGGCTTGCTCCGTTTCCAGTCCTGCTGCGCTTTCTGGGGTTCTTTATTTAACCATACCTCCGAGACCCCCCTCACCTCCCCCTTCCCCTATGCCGCCCCCCTCCCAGGCCCTTCCTTTTCCTTACTGAGCCGACCCCTCTCCTCGTTCTGGCAATCGCTCCAACTAGTTATGAGAAGCTCTCCTTGGAACGCTGCGGAACCTACTAAACTCACCAGACCCTGCTCTTGGAGACAATGCACGACACGGTGGACCAGGCAGTAGTTAGATTCCTACTCCTCTTTTTAACTTAGACAAAGCCAGTTAATTTTTCTGTGCCTCAGTTTCCTCCTAGGGAAATGGGAGGGAAAGACCTCTTCCTCGTTTTAATTCAACAGCCTGGCCATCCGAAGTTATTTTCAATGTACTGTTGATGGAGCTAACAAAGTAAAACTCTGAAAGTGTCAGGGACTGTAAAAGGACAGTAATGGCAGGAAAAAGGAGTGGAGAAACTCCCAGATGAGGCGGTTCCCTGCCGAAGCCTGAGGAGTTCTAGCACATCGTCTTCCATACCTTCACTTCCCACTTTCAGGAAGTTGTGAAGGTGTGGTGATGACATTGCGGTGAGAAGGTGCTTGGACAGGTCCTTGTGTCAACTGCTCTGCAAGAGTTGGGTGTGGTGCTTTGCCTCCTCCAGTGGCCAAAGAGAGGGAATTACTGAGGTCAGTAATTGAGCTGGTTCAGGGTAGAGACATATATTTACAGCAGAACCTCTCTGTTGAAGTAATTCTGGCTGTGAGTTAAGAGACTGGGGTTCCTGGTTCTGCCACTAGCTAGTTGGAGGATCATGGGGAAAATGACAGCTTCTCAGGTAGGAGAAAGTTGGACTAAATGATCTCCAGAGTCCCTTGGAGTCTGGATGCTTAGATTGTGTGATCTTTCCTGCTTGAGCCTTGTGCTTCAGCACATCATGAAGACAGCTCTGCTTAGCCTTAGCCCCACAGCTCCAAATTGGAGAGTTCTTCTGATGGCCAAAATTTGCTTTCCCATAGCTTGTTCTTCCCTCCCCTGAGCCTTGTTCTTTCCTCTGAAACACAGAGTGAGCCTACTCTTCTATCCTGTGGCCACTCAGTCCCAAGTGGGCGTGCCCAGTTGTAGTGTGTGCAGGTGGGAGGCCCTGGGAAAGGATCTCCCTTCTCTCCTTGGGACACCCCTTCTCAATGTGGCTACCATTTTGTTAATGTGGTAACCAGGGGGATCCTCTGCACAGATTAAAAACAGAGGAAAGCAGTTGCTTTGTGACCCTGAAGTTAATGATGTCCCTTCTTCCCTCCCACCCCCCAATACACTTTTCCCTTACCTCAAGTGTGCTTTCTCCTTGGAGACCAGAACTAGTTTGCCATCATGGTAATCTCACATGCTGGCTCCTGATTTCTAACTCCTGTTGTCTTTCTCATCCTTGGCTATCAATTCTTTGGGTCTGTTTGGTTTCCCTTCTAGATGAATCTTAACTCTCTGACTGAGTTTCCTTTTTTTTTTTTTT